TAATTATGTTGCTCACTTTAGTAAAGGCTAGATTTTTACGCACAAATATTATTGTTCCTCCTCCACTGGAGTTAATTACATCCCTTCGATAGGTTACGAATCCTGGAAATTGGTATTGCAGGTGTGAGGTATTTTTTGGCTTGAGCCTTGTTTCTAGGCACACGAATATGTCGAGTTCTGTCAGAATGATAGGTATACGTTCCTTGATTCTACTTAGACTACGCACATTCCAGATTTTTATTCGGAGATCAACGTTACGTTTTAGGGGGTTGCCTAATTTTTGTGTGTCAGCCATTTTACTATTAGTGTTGGAAGAGTTATGACGGGGCTACTGAGGTGAGTGAATGTACTGCAGATGTGGCCTTGCATGATCCAGCTTCTGAGTTCTGTTCCGGGTCGCTGAGACCCTCTGTTTGAGGTTCTGGTTCTTGATTGCCCAGCTTCTTAATTATGCGCTTTATTCTTTTTTTCAGTCTACCCTCCTGAATGTGCTTAGTAACCTTCTCCAGCATTTTAGATAGAGCTGGTATATCCTGGGTGAAGCTTAAAGCTATTGGTATAGCCCTGTCAGAACCATATTCTCTGGTCAGAAATGAGATCAGCTGTTCGGTGTTTATCGGGTATACCTCAGCTGTCTCGGTAGCATGTATTTTGAACGGTTCAAGTTGTTTATCAACATCCTCACTTATATCCTCTATAGTGCCAGGTATCGGGGAATCAGTTCTCAGTTGTGAGTGTTCGTAGTTTGTGTCTGCGTTCTTTTCCCCTATCTCTCCTGCTTTCTTCAATGGTCGGGAAGGCTCTGTGGAAAGGCTGGCTTGGCTGCGATCACGTTTCTTTGAGATTTTGTTTGGTGGTGGGAGCAACTGTGAGTTGTTTTCCATGTTTTCCGTGTTTACTTGTTCTTGAATTTCGGTTGTTGTCATCTCGATTTGATCGTTCAGCTCATCCGTGTGTGTGTTGTTTTCCGGGCAGTCCCTAGCCAAGTGTAGTTGGAAGAAAATTCTCCGATTCGAAATGGTCGATACAAATGTTATGTTCGTTTGGTCTAATTAATGCTCCCATTGCCAATGTATATTCTCTAGAAGAAATTCCTTGGATTGCTGGTAGAACTATAGCGGCTTCTCTCTTTGGTAGATTCGATTGTTCTGTAGTTTGTGAGTACAGCATACTTGTCGTCTGATTTTCTCCTTTATTGCTCATTTTTTTTTTATTCCTCACACCCGATTGGGCCTTCGGAAAACAAAAGGACTTCCCCGGTGGAGTCAGGAACTAAATGAAAGAGAAAAAAGAACAGGAAAAGTGATTTTTTTTTTCCCCTCTTTTCCCTTCCTTGTAGCCCCTAGATGGGTCCGGCTTTAGCCTGACTATCACTTCCCTCCTTCCCCCTTTCACTTTTACTTTTTTTGTAGTTTTCGTAATCGAAATATTTTTCTGGGCATTATACTACAATCGTATAATACCCAGTCACCAACACGTAAACCTCGTGAAACCGAAGAGGGTAAACACGTCTACCTCTTACGACCGTTCCAGTCGGACTCCAATCCCTAGGTTTATTTATTACAATTGTTTAGTCGCGATTCTTGAAATATCATTAGAAAATCCGTCCGAACTTCTTCAGGGACCTTGCAACATCATCATAATTTAAAAAACTATCTTATAGATATTTATAAATAAATAATAAATTATTTCTCATATGGCACATCAAACTTTTGTTTTTTTATTCTGAATTTTGCTTGTTTTACTACAAAAACAACCCAAAAAAATAGCTCATGAAATTTATAGGGAAAATTTGATTCATTTATTAAACAGCGTGAACAGAACCAGCTCTCTTCCTCTACTGGAACACTTATGAGGCCTGCACACTTAAAATGGATCCAGTGTAGACATGAGTTACACTCAATACAGTTTGCTGTCACTTTTTTCTTACAAAGTGCACAGCGCCAGGCCTTCATTTTTTTCTTCTTATTGACCACTTTCTTTAACAATTTCAGCGCCTCGTCTTCAAAATATTCAGGAAAAGAGTCAAGTTCCACCGCAGCGATGCAGTCATCCAAATCAGTGGGTTCCACATAAGAAATCATATTCTTCGTTATTTTTATCTCTTTATCAATAATTTTTTCAAGTAAAGGAGAAGAGACAATCGTTGCAATAATTTGTTGCGCTTGGAAGCGCGGTGATTTCTCACTGAATTTGACCATTTTCACCGGTTTTTTCATGGCATAGTCGGCTGCAGATGTTTCATGGGGATTTTCAATTGTTATGACAAATTCATTAGTCAACTTGGCAAGAAATTTGTCAGGATTAATATTTCGTCGTCTGGAGCTGGTGTGTGGTCTTTGCCCCATTGCAGTTTTGCGAGGTTGACGAGGTCTGCCTAATGTGTGGATAAATGGAATCGTTACACTGTCCAAATTAGTTTTTGAAGTTGATTCATCAGAGTCATTTTTCATTTCCTCATTCTCCTCTGCATATGAGTGATCAAGTCTCACTATAGCTACTGTAGCCTCATCAATTCCATCAGGATCGGAGTTCTCACGAGGCGCCAGTTTGCGTTCCTCTGGTGCACAAGCGTCATTTTGCATTAGTGAAAGTGGGTTAATAGAAATTACTTTTTCGATTAATTATTCTGCTGCATTATCTAAGCTTTGTTGTTCGGCACTATTGGTAGATTGGGTGGTGATGTGTAGGGATCGAGAAGACGCGAAAGTGGTCTTTACAGGGATATTTCCGAGGCTGATTCCACCCGTTGCTTCTGAAGCTTCAAATTCTTCAAGGACACTACTTACATTAGAGTTGAATTTTTTTGCTGTCGTTAAATGAGCTTCCTCAGCTGATGGCTTCGGGTTAGGCCCTTCGATTGAGGTCTCCAAGTTAACTACAAATTATTGAAGTAACTCAAACTCATCTCGAAGCTCGTCATTCAGCGACAATGACATCAAGTTGCAAAATTCAGCACCATATAGTTTTGCAGCATCTGAATTTGAACGCTTGGAATCCGAAGACGATGGGGAAGCCTCTATTCTCTCTGCATGTTTTGAGTAGGCTGCAGGCGTCCGTTGAGCTTCAAGATGAACAGTCCAAGTAAGGTTCGTAGTTCTCCCTTGGTAACTGGCCAATCTCATGATCACGAGAGACTTGAGAGACATTATCAATTCGAATTGGAAATTGAGCCCTTATGATCTCCAATTGAGGTGTAAATTCCTCAGATGAAACTTGAAGTAATTTCTGTTTGATACAATCCAGAATTACGCCAATTTCGTGTTCTCTTTCTTTGTTGGATGCATGACGATTAACTGCAGTTCCTCCTGAGAATAAGGCCGATGACAATGGTGATGGGCACCTTAAGGGGGGAGTATTTTGTAATGTTAAAAATGGAGTGCATGCGATCTTTTGATCAATGACAGTTTGCGATGTCAAACGTGATTTTAGTTGCGGAGGTAGTTGATTGACCGCATCTTCAATATCCCTTATTCTTTTACTTTTATTTTTTATTCTTGTTTTTTCCATTTTTAATAAATGTCTTGTAACCGATTGATCCTAGAGTAGACAATATAAAATATAAAAAAGTCTATAATTGGCCGAAATTATTCAATGTACGAGCATACAAAAAGCATTAATAAACATACCGTATCAGGATGATGATTATGGTCGAGATGAAAACTAGTGATTCTCAGACGTTCTTTTCCATTTAGCGTTGTTCTTAATTTAATAAAAGCTGAGCAGTTAGTTCGTTTGATTCTAGAACAGTTGTATCACGAAATAATAGACACCATTGACAATTGATTCTGATGGTACAACAATGAAGAGTAAAAAAAATCGGATAGACTCACAAAGATTCTCTTTGTTTACGTTTTTCGGAACCCTGATGAATTCACCGCTATGAGTGCACTTGATGGTTAATTCGTCATATTCCAAAGAAATATTGCAAATTTTCTCATCTTTTTTCAGTTGTTTTTTATTCATCGTTTTCAAATTCGTCAACGTAGATACGAGTGTTTTACTACTCGTAATTGAGAATCTATATTTCACTTGCTGTTGAAACCGGTATAAAAATTCCATCTCTTCGTTCTCTGATGCAAAAAGTCTATTCTCGTACACTGAGTCCATTTTTTCTGTACTTCTTTCTTTGTTTTCCACGTGTTAAGTATATGAGTCATGTATCTCTCACGTGCGGGAGTTCAGCGCGATGATATATGTCTTGCAAAAAATTTTAAATAGTCTCGACAATCTAATTAATTTCTAAACTTTAGTCAATAACATAAGTTCCGCGTAAATATGGAGATAAATTGATTGGGAAAGATTGCAGCATCATCGATTCCCAATTGTTACTATTGTAGTATATTCGTCAAGTTAGTTTTTTCATTGACAAAATTTGGTAAATGTCCATCATATTCATTATAAAATTTTATTGAATATCCAAATTTATAATTCAACATTTTACTGTAAGTGGATTGACGAACTCCACATACGTTGTTTCCATTGTTGATTGTTTTTCGTAATTGGGAATACACATTGAATGACGAAGCACTGGTGATTTTTTTTACAGCCCGTATAAAGTGAGATGTGAATTTTCGATAATAGTCGTACTTGGAGAACGTGATCATCTAGTCATCAGTGCGGTGCATCTGACACACAATCATGAAGTTTTAGATGTAAATGGAGTAATAATCGCATTTATAAAGTCATAGCAGATTTATTTATTTTTTATTTCATACTTGTCATAGGAACTTTACAAATATATGCATCGGAAACGGACACCTGGGACAAAAAAGGACGTTGTAGCGAAAATCAAAGTGGGTGGTTCATTTCCGATGATACGGAATGAATTATCAAAAAAAAAATCGTTGTTAGCGGGAAAGATCTCGCCAATATCGAATATAAACTAAAGAACCCAGGTGGCAATGATCTAAAATCATTTGTGCAATTATTGGAAGATAAATATGGTAAGTAATTAAATAGAATTATCGTGAGAATTTAGAAATCAGATAGTTCATTGATTTTTTATATTAATTTTTTTTTGTTCGATCACCAGATTGTACGGTTCATATCCTTTGTGATGAAATTTCATAGCTGAAAGCTTTATATTTTTCGAATTCAACAATGAGAAAATCGATGTCAGCGTGGCCAGAAATTGTTTTGCTGGATGGCACTTATCGGCTATTAAAGACGAAATTAGTATTATATGTGTTCTTGGTTGCATCTGGCATCGGGAGGGGAGAAATCGTTGGATCAGCACTGGTTTCCTGCGAGGATAAACATACAATCAAGTGGATCACCCAAAAATTTAGAGAGGGAAACAGTGAAGCCTGCGAAAAACTCCATGGAATCATGACTGATAAGCAGATGAGTGAGATGTATGCTATTAAGGAGGTGTTCCCGAATATTCGTTTCCTACTGTGTCTGTTTCACACTCTAAAAGCCTTCGGTGAAGCTTTGCGTAAACTGAAGTTGTCGTCAGCTGACGAGAATTTATGCAAAGAGTTGCTCCAACATTTGGCATATTCTTCATCGAAGGAGGAATATAAGGAGTATTATGAGAAACTTATCACCGAAGCACCTGAGAGTGTCAAAGACTATTTTCACAGTAATTGGCACCCTATGAAGGAAGAGTAGACTCGTTTCTACATGACTCATAAGAATTTCCGTCATTTTACAACCAATCAACTCGAGAGCATGAATCGAGTAATTAAAACGGTGGCTGAGCGGGACAGTACACTATGTAATTTCGCAGATTCATATTTTACAATGATGAGCTCCTACAATCAGGAAAGTGATGTGAAAACTGCTACGGAGATATTGAAGACTCCTGTTTACACATGCACAACAGACCATACACAAGTAAGTGCACAATATTCAACTTATCTCTCGAGAACTGTGATGCATGAAGTCACAAAACAATTGAAGCTCTGCAATAAAATCAATTTTACTATGTGTGAAAAAGAGCCGAAGACTTATCTCATTCAACATCGAGGTCTACTGAAGGCTACAGCTAACAATTGCACATGCATATTCCATCGTACACGGGACTTGCCGTGCAAACATATTTTTGCCTTTCGTCGTTCACTGGATTTGCCAGTATTTGAGAAATCATTGTGCAACAAGAGATTTACCAAAGACTATATAATGGAACACAGTCGATTGGGCAAAAGTACTGCGAGTAGAGAAGTTCCTGTCCATACAGCTTCTCGAATGATATCGCGATTGGCTGAGAATAAGACCTTATCAGTGAGTGATAATAGAAAAATAGCAACTGAAGCTACAGGAGACTTGATTGATACCTCAAGTACTTCATGCGGATTGCAATTCCAGAACAGAATAATGTCATTGTTTGAACTCGGTAATGCGTGGCGAGCTGGATATGAGGTGAAAATCACAGTCATTAACTCTGCCTCAACTGAATCGTGCAATCCCGCAACGCAGGACTTATCAGAAGCTGAAAAATCATCACCTGATGATTTTTCTCTGCCGAATGTAACTGATATACAGGTGCCCGTTGCGCGGAGAATCATTGGCAGACCGTGCGGTGTTGGATCCACAACAAATGGTTTTTATAAACATAAACGCTTCTCTCAACATTTTTGTGAAAATCCAATGGATAGGCAAATTCGAGGGATCCTTGGCTGGCTTTTACTTGAGTGAGCTCATAGAAAATGCCATGAATGGGGAATATTTAATTCACAAGGAAGATTAAACTCACTGGACATCACAAAAGTTGCCGGGTTCTCTGTGTAGCAGAATAATTAATCTGGAGAGTATGCGAAATTTATTTACATCTGATGGATTTTCATTCCTCGAAAGGCTTATCACAGAGAAAAGGGAAAGCCAATCTTGGACACGTGCGGTTTGTATGAAATCCTGGCAGGACAAGTCGATTGAGTGTAGTGGCTGTTTGAAAAAAATAGATTGGATATGTACATCACTCACGAAACATCCATCGAAGGCATGGCTATGTGCTAAATGTAAATGAAGGACTAGAGGAATGTTCGTGTTGATGTGGACACCACTGGGAGAATTTTTATTTAGAAAACACGTTTTTTACAACTATTTACCGATGGAAAAAAATAACTTCTTGAGGATAAATAGCGCCATTGCTCCTGCTCAATCTTCACAAGATGACAAGTATTCAATTAAGTGAATTATGAGAATTTGCACTGTTCTGATTTATTAAAAAAATAAAAAGAAATTTTCTATTAGTTATAGAAATGAGAAATTTAGAGAAATGATTTATTATTTATTTATAAATATTTATAAGATAATTTTTTTAATTACTATCATGTTGCAAGGTCCCTGAAGAAGTTCGGAAGTTTCTGCATTTCGTAATCAGTCCTCAGTTGAGCTTTACCTAGAGCAGAAAAAATAAATAAATTAAGTCACAGATTAAGAAAAAAATCCAGAACTTACCAGTTAATGTGCAGTCCCAGCTACCTGAGCTTAACAGGGTTGTGCTGATACCTCATACCCTGAACACCTTCACGTACTTTCTGTACTCTTTCATATTACAAGTAGTAAGAGATATCCAGGGCATTGACATCTTCCGTAGGTTGAATTTTTCCTTCTGCTTGCTTTGCTCTTGCTTTGCTCTTCATCTTGACCCACTTCATGATGGTGTTGAGACGAGGGGTGCGACACTATCATTGAACAGCTCTTCGAGCAGTTTAATAATGTGTTTTTTTTAATATCAGGGGCATTCTGGTCTCTGGGATGGGATCACCCTGGATACCCATGTCGAGAGAGAATCGAGAGGTATTGGAGGATGATCTTCTGAATTATCAGGGCGGTCAGGGCGAAATCAGCTAGTACTGAGAGAGCTTAGCACCTTCTTGATCTCTGGAGATCAAATTGGTCGTCTTCAGATATATTCTGCACTGAACCATCGATAGTTATTGAAAAAAAACACTTTCACTGTCTCACCGATTAATGTATGCATAGTCTATTAATTTAATTACTTTTTTTTTGCTTCTAGCAACCCGTATAAAGTAATTAATGGTTTCTTAATGTCTCAAGAATCGCGAATGTAAACAATTGTAATGAAGAAACCTAGAGATTTTTAGAATCGCCCGTGAGCCCGTAACTTCTACGACTAGGTCATTAAAAACCACGGGGATTTTCCAGGCCTCAGCCGTCGCCGGAGAAAAATGATCGTCGCTGTAATTACAGTGACGGGTTGAAACCCGTGGGCCCGTGGCTCGTGCATATAGTCACACCCTTTATCATTTTCTTCACCAGCAACAATTTTTTCACCCGTTCTGAAAATCGTCGAGACTGTACCACTAAATAGTTCTTCCAAATTTCTCACGAATTTTCCAGTCAGTTTTTGGATAAAAGGGGGCCGATTGTCTTTTAATTCTTTCTCATCAATGCACTTGATATCACGTATTCTTAGATAATAATAAAGCTCCTGTCGGCTAAAATCGCGCATAGGGCGTAAAATCATCACATCATTATGCCTATTATCTATCAAACCGCAGTCTGATGACAAGTTTGCACCTCTTCCTAACGCTACATTACTTAAAATTGCAATTGCTACACGGAGAGAAAAACCCAGGAAAAATTACGTGACTAATCACGTAATCGTGGGCTGGAGTGTCATTTCCTTGATTTTTACTGGAGAATTTGGGAAAAAATGAGAGACGAACAGTCAACTTTATTATTTGCTCTGGAAAATTTACGTGACAGTCACCTAATTTCTGATGAACTTGTAAAATTTCCCACAGTTCCGGTTAAAACTATTCCGCGTGAAGTAAAAATTATCTAGGTTCACTTGAATTTTACGTGACGTACCGTAATTTTTACGTGACCGAATTGAAAAATTCCCAGGCAGCGTTGGTACGACTGTTGGTCATACCCGATCGCGAATCATTGTCTATGTTCGGATCATGCCACCCGGCAAAATTTACGGAACTGAGTATCGTTATTTTTCTACCTCCAAAGGTTTCTTTTTACCGACCGAGTGGTCAAATATTCTGAATGATCGGCACTTTTTCCGATTTTACATTTCGCCCCACGTTTACCTTTCACACATGAATTTTGACGGAACTTTTTACGTATTTTTTCCAGTATTTTTCTCTCTCTGTAGGGAAGTCGAATCGTTAGCGAGAAAAATTTTTTCATACTTGAGAATTTTCGCAGCAATGACCATTACTTTTTCTCGTAATTTTTGTAGAAAATCTTTTTTTGAAGTTTCATCGGTCAATTTATTCCATATTTTTAACAGCTGTTCATCTTCCTTGCTTTGATTATTCAAATAGGTTATATCCTTCAAACATGAAACAAGAGCTTGCCAAAATTTGTTTGATTTCAAATTAATGAAGAATATAAATAATAAAGTCAGAAAATGAAGAAAAGAATACCATCAATGTAGAGAAGTTTTACTCGAAAAATCAAGCGTTTGTGAACACTCTCGTTCATCCCGGTCTTAATTACATTGAGAAAAGCTGAGGATCCAGCTTGGCCATTGGGGCCAACCAATATAGTATCGCTTGGTCTCACAATTTTGGACCTTCCTAGGGTCGCTCGAAATTTATGATTTGTACTAATCAAGAAACATCCATTGCAATAACCATCCTTCTTTCTGAGCGTAACCTCACCCTTTTCATTATTACATTTTTGACATACCAATAAATTGCTCACTAATTAAGAAATTTGATCGTTTGTGGAATTATGAAAAGTGATAAACAATGACCAACAAACTTATTCATCGTTTTTCTTTCAACAAATAGTCCCGTTGAAGGCAAAAATTAAAAGGATTAATCGTCACTGAAATATTTGCAGTGTTTAGCACACTTTTTTCCTGAAAAGTGACAGTTTTCGCCGTGACATTTTCCTGCATGACATTCGCGATGATAGTTTCTAATTTATCCTTTACTCCCAAGAAAATAATTTTCTCCATATGCATGTAATTACAGATGAATCGTATTTTATATATTGTATTTTAGCTCCAATTATAATTATGTCATTTGAAATTAAGGCCCGGCCTTCTCGCCAAGGGAAAATTGTGGTGACTTTTACCCCCCCACGGTTTGCGGCAGAATTAGGATAATCAGGATAATTTTTCTTATGATTTCTCAATAATGACTGATTCACACTTCTACAGTACAAGATGTTACGCTTGGCTGGTAAGCAGAACAATACTACTAGGTATTTTCATGGAGGTTACACGTATCACTGAGATCCCAGAGGTTCAGGAACGATTCTTCGTTGCGCATTGAGGAACCGGGAACAGTGCAGAGCTGTGATCTATGTGAACTCTCTTCACGATCTAGCCAATCAACCTGTAACGATTAACGAGGGTCATGGGCATGAGCCGGATTATTTTCTACCTCTGAGAGAGAAATTCACGGAGGAAGTTCTCCAGTTAGCTTTGAGTTGGGAAGACCCAAAAGAAATATTCAATCGGATCAAGGCCAAAGAGGAGTGAGTGGAATAGTATATTTCGGTACGAGTGCGTAGAAGTGGTTTATCACTTGAAAGAGGGGAGTTGCGCTATTACGAGTTTACACGCTACCCTCTCAGAGTAAAACACACTTTTCCTATGAGTGTTAGAGGGTACTATTGATCACAATATGATGTTTGATGTTTAAACTTCCACGCAGAATCGGAATATCGTTACTTCTACGCCCATCGTCGATGTTGTTTCATTACTTTCGCAGCGAAATAACTCATTTCGTTCTAAGCGGCCTTTTGTAAAAAAAAATGTTCCGGCAGATTCTCGGACAATAGTTCGATTATAGTGGTCTTCGTCATACATCCGTTTTATTGGGATTGAACCAAACGACTTGACTGATTTTTAGGTATCGTCCAATTGCTGCTAGCCTTTCGTACTATTGTGAGTTTAAGCAGAAAATGGCTAATACCCGCAGAGCACATGTTCACCAACGCCAACCAGTTTACTGGAGCTGGGAGAAATGTTGCAGGACTACCCACCTTTACAGCATTTATATCAAGACACTGTCACTGGTAATGATGGTTCTCAGAGTGTTATTTTAATGCATGAAGGCATTGGACAGCCTCTCACAGAGAAAATGTCACAACACTAACCGGAGATTTTGAAATGCCCCAGATCAATAGTTTCAGAGCTAATTTCCCTCAAGCGAGAATCTGTGGTTGTTTATTTCACTACAAACAGGTAAGTATTCATTCAATGATAGTGAGAGAACAAATACGTATCCTAAAAGATAGAAATAGACCGACAAAGACAAGGGCGTATAAAGACGCATGTAGAAACGCCAAGGAGTGAGTCTCAACTCCTACTAGGTGCATCCCCATTTGAGAGGCTTGCTAATCGCTAGGTTGACTCGTTGACGACTACTACTGCCCACATATTAAGGGGATTGGAGTTCTAGCTGGTAGTGGATAATTGTGTCAGAATACCAAAGCCTCCAGTCCATTACCGGGCGTTGTGTTGGAAATATACAACGAGTCTTTTAGCGAGGACACCGTAGCGGGAAAGTGGAAACAGTAGGCTGATGTGGATCCCAAAAGGGATGAAGCTGCTGAACCACACTTCATCTTACCATTCCCTCTGCTGGTTCGATACTGCGAGTTAAATGATCGACTCTATGGCCCATAAGACAATGGACGTAGGAGTTGATCTATTGCTAACTAATTGCTAGTATGGGTTTCGGAGAGGGCGATATGAACCCAGGTGATTAAAGTGATGGTCATTAAGGGGGGAGCCTGCTTTAGAGGCGTCACAAAATGTATATTTTCAAGATTTTTTTTGTAAAGGAAAGAAATGTTTGATTGAAATGAAACTTCCAGGATTTATTTGTATATACCTGAAGAGTCTTCTCAAATTTTTTTATTATTTTACATGAGATATTCTTCATGTTTGACCACATTTACGGAGGCGCCTCGAGTGTGCAGTTTCTGTATGGCGGGCAAGATGCAGGTCGCAATTTTCATCTGAAACAAAAAAACAAAAGAAATTTTCAATTTTCAATAGTGTAATTCCAACGTGAACCAAGAAAATTCAACAAAAAGTGAAAAATTCAACAATTTTTGTAAGATTGAAAAAAAATGCATTCTAAACAAAAAAAAATTGACTTTAAATCGTTTAAAAACCGGATTAATGTTAACTCTCTTGAGGTATTTTAGGTTCACCTAGGAGAGAATTTAATTCCAACTACAACGCATTTTGATTCGTTTCGATAGGACGTTTAGTTTTTTTCCTATCTTGCCCGCCAATTTGAAAAAATCATGAAAATGGAAAACCGAGAAATCGCGTGTCAAAGTTTTCGCTGACAAAAAATCGTAAATTTCTTGAACTTACCCTATTAATATCCTAATCAGCGATTCCTGCTCCATATAACTATCTTTCGGACTCTTCAAAAAATTCGTTTTCGGCCAATTCCTCCATTCGTCGGGCTGTTCTGGCCTCTTTGGTCACCAATGAGCAGCGCCTGTTTTGACGCCTGATGCGCTGCTCGTCCGCATTATCGCAAAAATATTTGCACTGGAGCCCAATTTTCCAGTCTAATGAATGCATACTCTTTAATATTAGATTGTAGCCTTCATTAAACATCCCTCCAGCGATGAAAGCAGCGATTTGGACAATTTTAACCTCTGAATGAAGGTGTTTGGGGGTCAGGCACCACAAGGTTGAATTGAATGATTCGTTGGCATTCTGCGTGTGTCCCCCCAAGCACCTTGTTAATAAATCGTCCTTCGATAATTCCTCATATATAGGACGAATATATTTTTCACAATTGTCGTCAATTAAGCGCGGTGGTTGTTTAAAATCAGCCAAAGTATTCTCTGCTTCCGCTTTGCGCCATTCACACCAGCTTTGAGTGCCTTCGGGACAGTTGTCGTGGCGAGGCAATTTATCTGTAGAACAATAATGATCAAGTGTCGCCATTATTGCACTTCTCATACCTTCTACAGAGTTTAAATTTCTTCGAATCGCGAGACCGTAATACATTGTTAGTTTTTTTATTACAGTCTCTGTGAGCCGCTTTTTTCCACCGCGTTTTTGTTCTTTTCTCTTGTTTCGGAGACCAGTACCCATGCGCTTTTGTACGTGTCCCACGCACTTGTTTTTGGTCACTGTACACTTGTCGTCCTATGGATTATTCTTCACGATGCCAAGAAATGTTTTGTAGTTGCCGTCGCCAATATAGTTGCTATACATTACTCCAAATTTTTCGATGGATCTTGAGAACATTTCGTTGATCGAATCAACTTGCATCTTTCCGGCGCAGCCTGCGTGATTGGAAGAACAACTTTCTTTATGAGTTTCATACCATTCTTCAGACTCGTCGTCGTTCAACGTATTTTTCTTGAGAGTACAGGTATGACAATATCCGTTTTTAACATCGAGATCAATCACTTTGCCACTGTACTAGCCAATAAGTGTAGTTACAAAAAGAAGAGAAGTGAATACACGTTTCTTCCACCATCGCCCGAAACTTTCAAATGGTCAGCTGGTCTTTCATTTTGCACATTTAGTTTTTTTTCCTCTTCGACAGCACTCTTGCACGTACTTTCAAATATCGTTTTCGATGCTGTATACACATGTTCCACGATTTTGTCATACGTCGATTTTGCTAAACCTATGCCTTGAGATAAATCCATTAGACCACAAAAAATGTTCATGCCTTCTCGTGCGACACCCAAAAGCCTCATGACCAACACAATTCTTCTGTTGATTTCGTAGCCAGTGTGAATCAACGGTCCGGATTGAATTTCTCGTTTACCGCAGCGATACGACAAAATAATTTTAAGTTCTAAACCTCGATGGCTGCTTCCAGCGAACGTTATTCTTTCCTTACACAAATTGCAAATAACCAACTCCGAAATTGCCAAAAACATAGACACAAACTCAATTATGCGGTAACAATGAGACGGATAAACTATAATGTCGTCCGTAGTCACAGATGCCAATTTCTGCTCACTGCGGCTCGTATTTGCTTCTCCATCGTCCGATGAAGAAACATTCAAAAATTGATTGCCTTGGAATTTGCGCTTCCGTGGCCTTCCACTACGCTCACTCGCAGATTTGTTCGTTTTCGGATAGCTCTTCATATTTTTATAATGCTCATGTACTGACAGACAAATCAAAACTGAACCGGAAAGGAAAATGTAGCTTTATAATAGCCGAGGTTAGCCAGCTCACCAACCAGCTGACACCGTTAGCTGACCGTTAGTCCCTTTTCATTATAATATATATATATATACCTACTATATATATATATATACCTACTCGACGCTTGCTCACTATTTCGCCTGTATCTCCGGAAATAATCCGAATTTTATTATGAAATTTTGGCGACATATTCTTGGATAATTTTTGAAAGTGATTTATGCAAAAAAAAATCGATTTTTTGAAGTCTCTAAAGCAGGCTCCCCGCTTAATAAGATTTTTTCAAATGTACGCTTTTGACGAAACATCAGGATGAAATTCTAACTTTATGTTTGTCAGCATTGGTGAAGGACTTGTGCATAACCGTGCACCGACTTTCATTGGTGTTTGTTATTGGTCAGAGCGGAATTCACATGTAGTCATGTACGCTCCTGGGTAGAATAGAATAGATTTCATGGTAATAGGATTTTTTCAAATGTACGCTTTTGACGGAACATCTGCATGAAATTCTAACCTTATGTTTGTTAACATTGGTGAAGAATTTGTGCATGAAAATCTTTCAAGCGGAATTGACATTTTGGCATATACATTCGCGGATAAAGGAGGCTAGATATCATCTTCACAAGATTTTCCCAATGAACTCTGTTGACGTAACATTAACATGAGATTCTACTCGTATCCTGCTCAGTATCGCTGAAGTATGTACATGTGAAAATACTTTGCACATCAACTATGTTTGGAATTTTATGCAGTCCACACGGACCCGTTACAATACACTCTATTTCTTTCACATCCACTCGTGTAACATAGTTGAAATCATGTCCGATGACTTAATGCAACAGACAGAATGGTTGTCTCATGTATATAAAGATCCGAGTTCGTGCTTCGGTCGTGTAGAATTGTGGGACGTAAACTTGCGAAACACTATTTGCGAGTACAAACTGAAGAATAGTTCTCTTGAAGTAAAATAATAACAATCTTATGAGCAAATGAGAACACTATGAAGCGGTAAAGACTTTGTTCTTCTTGGTCAAATCGCGGATGGTAGCCCGACCAGGATAACCTCAAGCAAACCTCTACCTTTTGTTCTTGATCAAATAAGCGACATTTTGCTATGGAAACCTGATGACAAAATCTTTCGCTGTTGAACGGGAATGCCTCAAGCGTCTTGTGTCCATTGCTGATGACCTAGTTCGTTATTTTGGATTGTGGGCATCAGTAGTTTTCGACTCGCAATACGATGCCTTTATTAATCTTATTTCATTTTAATAACTTTTTTTTACTATTATTGCATCTGTTGGATTCGTGAACGTGTTTTCTCAATTTGGTGCCATCCTCATTCCTTTAGGCCATTCTCTTCCCTTTATAATTAATATGCGCTCTGGTACTGGTTTATCATAGTTACCGTTAGTTATCAGCCTTTCGTCGACACTCATTCGGCTGAGGCTACAAGGGAAACCATAACAAATTCGGCCCATGTACTGGCTGGCCACGTAGTAATTCTATTGTGTCTATGAATCACTGACTTAATGGACAGAGTAGGCATGTGCCAGTCTTGTTGAGTATCTGTGGTCCTATGGGGTTAGCCCAAGAGTAGATGGCTCCCATCCGAGTTGTACCCTATTGGAATAGTATTCAGCTTGGCGGAACATTGAAGACGGGCGCTAACCCCGTGATTACTAGGACTGTTTGATTTGAATGATATTGTCTTCATCATATACAGGATAGTCGAGTAAAGTTGAATGGTGAAACAAGCCCAAACAACGGTGTTTGTTAACATTGTTTGTAATTCACCTTAAGAGTGGCCGTAGCTAATTTACATTGGTGACTACTTGTGGACTCAAAAACCTTGTAATAATCAATAATATTTGTTTTCATCTGACCATTCCACTTTATCTCATTCTCCACGAGTATCAAAACTCATCATTTCATTAATTTTTTAAAGGAATGCTGTGTATTCGACTCAAGAAAGCAGCTCCAAAAAATAAAACACTGCAACCATCGCCTATGTGTCTCATGTGTCCGGAGCTTGATCATGCGGAAATGCCCATTATGCAGAGGAGAGATTGAATCTTATTTACCTCCGCATATGATGGGAGGAGAGAGGTGGCATGACAGAATCGACTTGGAAATCGAACTGGACTGGGAGGACCAAGTTTTAATGGAAATGTTCAACCAAGAATAGACCGGATTTTTTTCAATTTTCTAATTATTGTTGTTATTATTAAGGATTTTGTTATGTTCATGAATTAATGTGATGTGATGACTTATTACATATTAAATAAATGTCATTGTTATAAATTGAAAAAATGAATAAAATGATAGTTATAGTTGAAAAAAATTCAAGTGCCGAGTGTGACTTGGTGGTTTCAGCCTTTCGATTCTCTGTCTGGACCACATGGTGAGACGAGCCTCACCAATAGCCTCGTAAACCAATGTCAAATCAGCCCTAAAGAAATTATGAAATCAGGCTGGGATCAGGCCGGAGTTACTCGTCCTTTGGAATAATTATCAGGGTTATATTCATTTTCTCAACAACGACTATTCATCCACGAATTATTGGTTTGAAATGATTGGGTAAAGTTATCACTCCACATCAGAATTTTGGAAGAGCATTTTATTTCATTTATTGAAATGCTGCAAATATCGTTTGGACACAAAATGATTGTTAAGGGTGATTCGTTATCACGACAACATTGAAAGAAAAACAAAAAATCCTAATATTGTTGCCTATTTTAAATCAAAAATCGATATTGATACTTCAAATTGATGGAGAGTTTAAAACTACCGTTAGATGGCACCGTAGCTATCTGCCGGCATCAGTTGAACCAGGACTCAAGGAGGGAGAAAAATCTAATTAAAGCAGGTAGCTCCTTTAAGTGCTTAAGGCTCCCAGCTCTCACTAATCAAGCTCGGGAGCGGGCTGAGCCAAATGAGGCGAGGTTTACGCGCTCTTTGTCGTTCACTCGTTACAACGGGCTTTCTTTATCTTTTATTACACAATAAGAAAGGTGGGGAGCACGTTTTGCTCTCACAGCAGCAGTGGTCTGGCCCTGGGTTATAAAAACTACACTGTGGAAACATCTTCACGCATCACCTAGAGCTTTATGTATACCGTAGTCCGTGCACAATTCTACTACTTATTAATTAATGGTGTGCGGAAAAATAAACGACAAGATCTTAATTGTGCACGTCGCTCAGCGATAGGTGCCTAACTAAAATTCGGTTGTACTATGTAAATAAAAATATGTGCACAACTTTTTATTTTAAATTAATTCAATGTGTATGATTTTTATGAAAAACGTTAATTAGAATTTCGAGTGTGCATTTTTTTGTACACATAATATATTATGTGCACGCAGAAAAATAACAGTGTGTGCAACATAATAGAGTGAAATCTTGTGCTCAAATTGGATGTGCACGTTTAAAAATCAAATGTGCATATTTAATTTGATTTTTACATCTGTGCACAAACATAAATGTGTTCAATTATTATGTGCACGACTCATACCCGGTCATATTGAGAACCCATTGAGAATCAAAAATCGTATTTTTGAACACTAAAAAAAATTGAATTCCCAATTCTCCAAAAAGGGCAGATTATTTTGAGAGGTCTCCAAGAATAAAAAAATTCAATAGCCAATTTTTGCTTACATCAACACATCAGACAGTCGCGGGCATGAAATACATTTTTGACCCCTTGATTCCAGCTCTCAATTGACTCTGAATGCTCTCTCAAATAGGTCCGTCAGGGTAAACGGTCCAACAGTTTTTAATTAACAACTAATAACGAAGAAATGAATGAAATGATGAGGAATATCTTGTTAATTAATGCGTATTAATTAATTGAATTTTACTAAAAATATTCACTTACCTTTGAATTCTGGCCAGGTGTGTCCCAAATTCCATTTGTTCAAGGACATTTCAATAATATTATCTCCTTCGGAAGTGTCATTTCACTCATTGGGTTAATAATCACTGTTTCTAATTATTGAGATGAATTTTGTTATAAAATAGAACTGTTCGCGATCACAAATCGTTGAAAACTGAGAACTATAGCCGGCGTCCGCCTCGTGGCGCTATCGTTGCTCCATCGATCAGAGATTTTACAGACGCTCTCATGCAAATTTTGCCAATGCGCGAGACGATTACTCCGATACTTGGCCGTAGAAACGACATCTGCAAGATAAAAATGTATATGGAGGAAAATAACCTATGGCAAAAAAAGCATAGGCTAGATACTGTCATGGCGAAGGCCATGCATGAAAGTGTCATGGCGGAACGAAGACAACTATACGCAGCGCCCACCGCGTGGCGCTGCGTCTGTTTAATTTTTAATTTTGTCAATGTTTCGGCACATGGGGCTAGTTCAAGTGCCGTGTTGTGTATCTCTCTCGCACTCGCTGGCACATTGCGGAGCACCGGAAAGACGTTGTGCTGTGTTAGTGTAAAGTGAAGACTTTTTAACGACTTCACCAGAGTGCAACACACACCAAAAAAATTCAAACAACCAATTAATTATCGTCCTTTGATTAGCGCCGTCAGCAAAATATTTTTGTGATAACTGATAGCGTAACTCAGAATGCCGCAAACGGGTGACGAATCTCAGCCGCTCGGCATACCGCAAATCACAACCGCCAACGCATTGACAGCAGCTGCAACGGCAATGAAACCCAGGATCATCGCAAGGTCATTCGACCCGGAGAAACCACAGTTCTGGTTCGCCCAATTGGAAACGCAGTTCGCAGATCTCGGCATCGTCACGGAAACAGAGAAATATAACAAAACAGTACCTCTAATAGACACACAGTACGCAGCCGATGTCGAGGATTTAATTGTTACCAGACCTGCCGCAAATCAGTTCCAAACAATTAAAAGTGCATTAATTAGATGTTTTAGCAAATTAAGAACAGCAAATTTAATTCGGTTGCTTGATAACGAAAGCCTAGGGGGCCGCAAGCCTTCCAAACATCTCAGACACTTGAAAGCTCTTGTTCCAGGTATCGACGAGAAAGTTTTGAAAACACGTTGGCTTTCTCATCTCCCGGAGCAGACGAGGGCAATCTTAGCGGCGCAGGAAAATGCCTCATTGGACAGCTTAGCCAAGCTGGCGGACAGGGTTCACGAGGTTTTTCAACCACAGCAGTCCTCAGCGATCACGGCCTCAACAGATAACACGGCCAATTCAAAACTTATCGCTCAAATGGAGAAGCTAACAGCGACCGTGGCAGCGATGCAGTTGCGCGAGTCACGCTCGCGCTCACACACACGCTCGGAAGGGCGACACAAAGATCGCAACGGTTCTCGCAGACGCTCCAAATCACGTAAGGTTTCCGGGGATTTTGACACATGTTGGTATTTTACAATTTTACATTACATTTTACATTACAGATTTGGAGACAAAGCCCACAACTGCCTGCCAGGCTGCAAGCATCAGGGAAACTACAGCGGGAGTCGTTAGCGACGGAACGCGATTCTCCTTTATCACCCCGTCGCCTCTTTGTTATCGACAGATCCACCGAAGAGCAGTATCTTGTGGATACGGGTTTTGACGTCTCCGTATACCCCCGAAAATGTCAGTCTCGCAACAAGGAAACCACCGGCTATCAACTGTTCGCAGCCAATAACACGTTGACAAACACATATGGCTGCATCCCGGTCTCGCTCGATCTCGGCTTGCGCCGAGACATCAAATAGCGCTTTGTCGAAGCTGAAGTAAGAAGGCCTATTATCAGCGCTTATTTGCTCCACCATTACGGTCTACTGCCCGACCTCAAGCATCAAAGACTCATCGATAGCACCACGGGTCTCACGTCTGACGGACAGTTGGTCAAACTTGAGCCGTTCTCGGTCAGACTTCAGACAATCGAGGAGAACTCGCCACTTCCATCACAAAAGCAGAGGGACTCCTGCAGAACACTAAACACTCGACGTTACACCACCTGAGGACCACTCCCGGCCCGCCGGTATCGGCCAGACCAAAACGTCTCTTACCGGATATGCTCAAAATAGCAAAAGCTGAGTTTTCAAACATGCAGAAGCACGGCATTGCTAGACGTGGACAGGGACCATGGTATTCACTTCTACTTTTACCTCCAAAGAAGAATGGAGACACAAGGCCTTGTGGTGATTATCGAGCCCTGAACGACAGGACAATCCCAGATAAATACCCAGCTCGTTATCTTGACGATTTCGCCGCGAATCTCCATGGAACCTCAATTTTCTCGACGATAGATCTCGTTAAAGCACTCCACCAGATACTGGTGGCGGCCGAAGACATACAGAAGATGGCAATTATAACGCCGTTCGGATTATTCGAATTCCTATTCATGACTTTTGGCCTACGCAACGCGGCTCAGACGTTTCAACGGTTGATATACGAGGTCACCAGCGACCTGCCATTCCTATTCCTGTATATTGACGACATTCTCGTTGCCTCTGAGTCGCCTGAGCAACATCTGGACCATCTGAAACTGCTGTTTCAACGTCCGGAGAATTATGGCCTGGTAATGAATGTCGCAAAATCAGTTCTTGGCAAACCCGAAGTGGTTTTCCTTGGTCACACCATCAACTCCAAGGGGATCAGCCCACCACAAGACCGGGTAAACGCAATTCTCGATTATTCATAACCTGACAACGTCAAATCGCTTCGCAGTATCCTTGGCGCTCTCAATTTTTGCAGGAAATTCATCAAGGGCGCCGCAGGAATTCTCGCCCCTCTTAATGCGGCACATCGAGGACCTGCCGTAAAAGGAAAGCATCCCGTAGATTCGAACCCGGAAATGGACGCTGCCTTCGCCGAGTGCAAGCAAGTTCTCGCAGAGGCCACTCATCTGTCTCACCCTAATATGGATGCCGAGTGGGCAGTCTTTACCCATGCATCAGACCACGCAGTGGATGCGGTTCTACAACAAAAGCATCCTGATGGGTGGCAGCAACTCGCTTTCTTCAGCAGGAAGCTGGCTCTCAGAGATCGTCATCACGCCACTTACGGTCGGGAGCTCGAGGCAGTCTATGAGGCAATAGTACATTTTCCACACATTTTTGAGGGAAAGATCTAACGGGATTTTCGGAAATCCCGCACATTGAACTAAATTTTGGGTGAAGTTCTCTAAAACTTCTGCCATCTCGACACTTTCCCGGGAATCACTCGAATCGTCGAAGGGTGTGGGGCCTGGGGTCCGAGTGCTTAGGGTGTTAGGAGGCCTGAAGACAGGCAACAGCACAGGGCAGACACGTGGAAACATTCCCAGCTCCCCTACGAGACTTGCCGGCATATAGCAGAGAACTCATACTGGCGTATGAGCGCTCCAGGTTAGATGGGATGGGCATTCGAGCGGCTGATCCTTCGAAGGGGTTGTTCGAAGGGATCAGTGGCGACGTTCGAATTCGGCGCGCTCCAGGAGAGGCTAATGCCAGGGATATCCTCCCTGCGGCGAAGGCAGCACGTCCCGGCACACGGCAGTTCACTCAGCCGTAGTCGAGAGTGGGGGTACATCGACACTACTGCTGACACCGCCCACTCACTCGGCAGAGCCGCTTCGGCTGGCTCCCAGTTCGGACCACTGTCAGCTCTCTCTCGAGCCCTTAGCTGGCTCCCAATGCCCAGCATTGGTTTTCTACGCTCTATAGGTGAGGATCATCCTCTCCCCGGGATCACTCTCTGAGTGAGGGCAATACCCTCCTCGGGGGGTGTTCTCTAGGTGAGGGACATCTTCTTCCTGGTGATGTTCTCTGGGTGAGAGTCATCCTCTCCCCAGTTAGGCTCTCTACATTTAGGGCTACCCTAGTGGGCCCGGCACGCTCTCGATAGTGTGCTTTTGGGTGAGTAATCCCCACGCTTTCGGCCTCCCGGCACTCCGCTATCTTACGTCGCTCTCTCGGCGAGATGTTCTCAGAGGTCGCCCTCAGCGTCCCCGAACCCCGCAAGTATGCTCTCGGTATCCCGAACCACGATCTGTTCTCTGTATCATTTCTCGGTCTAGATTTCGGTTATTAGAGTCGCGTATCCGTGGACCCTGGCCCTCTCTCCACGTCCTAGCATCCTGATCAACCCAGGTATTCCCGCTTCCGTTCCATTCGTCATCAGCTTCTAGCTTCTCGCGGGTAGTTTTACGGTAATGAGGTTATCGTTCTAGTTTTGGGAGTACGGACTCCCCGGTTTTTGGGATTTATAAATTTACGGATTTTGTGTTGTCGCGAGGACGAGTTCCAACCCCCCTCGTCCTGTCCTTTCGTGCTCTTGTTTTTGGATATGTCGGATTTTAGGTTCGTTGAGGTCGGCTGACCTCGGGCAAGGCAGGGCACCCCCCCTCCTTACCTTTGTTTCGGTTGTTTCGGTTACCGTTAGCTTTTGGCCCATAAAAAGCTAGCTGGCGCCCGCAGTAATTCGGTTGGATTTTAGGATGCGCGCACGGGAACGGGCGAACGCGATAACTATCGCCGATCGTCGGGACGAGGCCGGGGAAAAGTGTTACAAAGAGTATCACAATCTATACGGATCACAAGCCCCTGGCACACGCATTTCGTCAAAAGCCGGACAAAGCAACGCCTTGGCAATGTCGGGGGTTGGACTTCATTGGCCAGTTCACTTCAGACATCAGGCATATCGCCGGCGCTGATAATGTTGTCGCAGACGCCTTATCCTGTATCGAGGCGGTGTCTGAAACCGTCAGCAACCAACAGTTGGCTCAGTCGCAACGGGAGGACCCAGAACTCCAACAAATCCTCCAGAATGGTGACAACAGCCACAACCTGCAGCTCCTTCGTTTCCCGGTATCAGCTAGTAGAGTATATTGCGACGTCTCGGCGTCGGGTACGCTCCGTCTGTCTGTACCAGGGCCACTGAGAAGACAAATTTTCCTCTCCATGCACTCACTTGCACACACTGGAGGAAAAGGAACTCGGAAACTTATCGCCGATC